TCATTCTCATCATTAGAAAAAAATGTAGTTTTTATTTGAATTTTTGAATAATTTTCTCGGAGAATATTCCGGAGAAAATTGATTTTACAGTTACTGTTATCAACTTTGAGCCATATTTTCGACGTGTAATAGATATTTATTGTATGGTTTCATATATGGATACATTATATTTTGGAGGATAAGCGGCGTTTTATTGCTCCTGTATTTTGCACACAAGTGTCTGATCTTTTCGGTGCAAATAGGTTTTTGATTCACTTATAGTTTTCCAGACCCCTTATGAAAAGTTTTTACACTTTTTTGTGTCCAATGAGTCTTATAGTAGACGGTAGACAAACAATATTTTGCTTGATATTTGTGTGTATGCGAGAGAGAGAGAGCGAGAGAGAGAGAGAGCGAGAGAGAGAGAGAGAGAGACTAAAAGCACATTACATTTTGTATTTTGATTGAAAATGATAGATCACTGTTGAAGAATAGCTGACATTTATATATAAATATAATAAAAATCTTTTAGAATTTCTCGAGAATACAGTTTTATAGTTAAAAGCGATTGTATGTATAAAAGCATTTGCATTGCACCAGAATATTCTGTTTGTATAAGTCCTCGACGTTTTCAATAAGTATTTTAAATGCAATTATAATATCTATAAAATGAAATTATCTATCTACTGCTGAATATACTAGCATTTTATTACATTATATTTAAAATATATCAAACATTAATTTAATTTAAATGTTAGATTTTTACCCCACTAACCATCGAAAGTAAGCACCGTTAGCTTTGCACAGTTATGTTAGCAAAAAGCCATAATATTTGACAAAATCTACTTTTACTCAAAAAATTAATTCTTTTATCCCTCACCCACACGACTGTCCATTATTTTATTATCTATTATATTCGGGGCAAAAATGATTGAATAAAATACTTTTCGAACTTGAATACTCTGTGCATTTGACGACCTTGCTCATTGACTGAAGCAATATATCTTAACAAAAGCCCATTTGCAGCAATTGAAGTACAAAAACCCATTCATTTATATATGTGGCCTACAATATATACACCCGTATATATACGTATATATATATATATATAGTGTACTGATATATTATATACATTTTTTGGGTAGTATTTCATTTCTCCATAACAGCTGTCGGCGCCATAACTAAGAATTACTGAATGAGAATAATAAGAGTGAATCAAAACCATTGAAAACTATAGAAAATAATATACACTATTCTGGCAGAAAAAGTACGAACAAAAAAATGTGTAACAAAAATATCTTATATATAACTTATGGCTTCAAAAGCGATATACACTATAGGGATATATAACGCTATTTGTTATATAGTTTTTTCTCTCACTTTTTATTTCTAGCAATTTGTCGCCCAAACAGTTGTGAGAAAATAGTAGCCATAAGTAAATAACAACAAGAATTTAGTGATAAACGATTGCAGTTATAAAAAAGGATATATATTGTGTGAGCTATTGTTTGATTGTGTGTATGGAGTTTGAGAGCACCGGCAGGAATGGTAGACCTTCTGAAAAACAACTTCGATGTATTGAAACGCCAATATTCTGGCGGTGGTGTATGTCTGTGCCGTTTAATGTGTGTTCAGTGACATTGACAGTAAGGGATACCACTGCCAACAACACGCACTGGTAGTTAGACATAACACACGGCATCCAAACACCTGATCCCACTTTCTCTCTCTCTCTAATCAAAATGGTTATACACTTTCGCTGATATTGTGAAGGAATTCCTATAAGAATAGCCATTGAATTCAAACGTAAAGTTGGCGTTAAGTCTGCGATAGAAACACAAAAAACAATAGAAAAATAGCATTTAATTAACTCACAAACCAATAGACCGATTGATTGATACAAATAATATAGGAGTACACTATTACACTACTGTATTACACTATTACACTATAAAACAATACTAAAAGTTAACAATAAAATAGTTTTTTTTCGTTTGCAAACACATACTTTTTCGTTTAACAAAAACTAAAAGGTGTGTTAGCTGAGATGTAAAACTAACTCAAGAACTGATTAAATTGTCTTTTTATTGGTAAAGTATGGTGGTACGATATAAACGAATATATTATCAGAGGTGACCTGCCGGTGCCATTAGGGGGACTTTGCAATTTGAATTATGCACATATTTGTGAACATGGTTGATTAGACAGAATTTAAAACTTATAACTCACTACACTATAAATTTAAAGAATATTTAAAGTAATATGGCTAAACTTGAACATGTCGTTCCTCCCATTCCCACCCCTCGCTGTACTGATTACTATGATTTTTTCAGTCATTTTAATGTCATTTCGTATTTTCTGCACAATTAGGCCCAGATTTTTGGGGTCGACTGAACCCGAAATGGAGTCACTGTAACAAAGGCCGGCGCCAATCGCCTATCGACATAAATCCCGAGCTATTACTGTATGATCCAGGTCTACTACCCGTCCACATTAATGGCGATCACGTCGTTTGTGTATGAAAAAGCAAATTGTTTTTGATTTTCCACACAATCGACTCTACATTTTGATTGAGTTCTTGACTAATTTAACAGAAAAATAACCATTTCATACCACCATGCTATATTTGCTTATATCAGAGGTGACCTGCCGGTGCCATTAGGGGGGCTTTACAATTTTAATTATGCACATATTTGTTAACATGGTTGATTTGACAGAATTTAAAACTTATAACTCACTACACTATAAATTTAAACAATATTTAAAGTACGATTAATATGGCTAAACTTTAGCATGTCGTTCCTCCCATTCCCCACCCCTCGCTGTACTGATTACTATTATTTTTTCAGTCATTTTAATGTCATTTCGTATTTTCTGCACAATTAGGCCCAGATTTTTGGGGTCGACTGAACCCGAAATGGAGTCACTGTAACAAAGGCCGGCGCCAATCGCCTATCGACATAAATCCCGAGCTATTACTGTATGATCCAGGTCTACTACCCGTCCACATTAATGGCGATCACGTAAGTGTTCGCATGTTTATGGAATCGCTTCTCCTTTCATGCCATTCCGCAAACCATTCACTACTTTAATCGTAACTCTCAGTCCCTATCGGAGCGCTTATACACCAACACTCTTAACACACACTTCCACTCGCAGTCGCATGTATTAACACAATCCATGAAATGAATTATTAATGATATGTTATTTATGATGGAAAGGGAGAGATGTATGGGTGTATGAGTGGCAACGAGTGGATCAGTGCGAGAGAGAGAGAGAGAGAGAGAGAGAGAGAGAGAGAGAATATAATAATACAATAAATACTTATAAGAAACCAAAAAGTAGTGACGCTTTTAATGTTTTTCATATAATAGATGTCAATATAATTAATCATTACTTGACTCCATCTCCTCATGTCATTCCCCAACACCTATACATCTCTCCACATCCACTGCTATCACACATTAATACAGCGATTCACACACTATTACTGTAATACTATTTGTCAATATAATTAATCATTACTTGACTCCATCTCCTCATGTCATTCCCCAACACCTATACATCTCTCCACATCCATTGCTATCACACATTAATACTGCGATTCACACACTATTACTGTAATACTATATATGACATCCCTATCCACCAGACAATTCATTAAGTCACAGTCAATTCATTAAGGCACCTGTATGTGTGTTTAGGTGAGCGGCAAACTGGTGAACACCGGTCGCAGCATCACATTCAAGATAAATGTGGAGCAGTCAGTGGTGCTGAGCTCAGGGCCCCTGTCCTATCAGTACACACTGTCTAACATAACACTGCATTTCGGTCGCGAGAATAATAGGGGTTCGGAGCACACGATAAGTGGCGTCCAGTTCCCGGGAGAGATCCAATTGTATGCCTATAACTCACAATTATATTCTAATTGGACGGAAGCCCGACACGAGGCCAACGGTTTGGCCGCCATCTCAGTGCTCATCGCCTTCTCCAAGAACTCCAATCAGGCCAACACTCAACTCAAACACATCACTCACGCCCTCAAGAATATCACTCATAGAGGTATCGCACAGAATATTCTTCATTTATATGCCGTTTTTCAGTGCTCATCGCCTTCTCCAAGAACTCCAATCAGGCCAACACTCAACTCAAACACATCACTCACGCCCTCAAGAATATCACTCATAGAGGTATCGCACAGAATATTCTTCATTTATATGCCGTTTTGTCTGATTTAAGCAAAGGTTTTAATATTAGTTGTTATACAGTATGTTTAGGCTAGGTACATTAGGCTAGTTTGTAAATTGTATTAGATTCTTGTTGCTGTAAAAGGGGTTCAAATTATTTATTTATATTTTTTTGCTAATTAATTGGTAAACTACAGTAATTGCAAACATTAATACTGATTTGTGGTATAGAATTATAAATTTATTTGACTGCAAAAATATAATTTATAGTCACATTTAAGATATCATAAATATTACTATTATCATATGTTTGAATATATATTTTATTATTTTGAAAATATTTAACAAATATTTTATTCTTTTGTAAATTGACGTGAATTTAAATTTTTAGTATAAGAATAGTTTACAAAATATGTGCAAAAATTAGATTTTATTTAATATTTAATAATAGTAATCAATCATTGAAAATACTTTATGAATGACTTAATTCCAAGTTATGATTACTTTTTAAAAAATACTCATTTATTTGAATAATAATTCAAATGCATTTAGAAATTAAGTACACATTTAATCAAATGCTTTTTAAGACCACTTTTTACTATTAGTTTTCTTTAAACACTTCACGAAATCTTTTTTGCTTTTTATATTAATAATATTTTATGAGAAAAATATGCATTTAGAAATTAAGTACACATTTAATCAAATGCTTTTTAAGACCACTTTTTACTATTAGTTTTCTTTAAACACTTCACGAAATCTTTTTTGCTTTTTATATTAATAATATTTTATGAGAAAAATTATTAGTTTAATCAAATATAATAAAATATACGAAGCATTAGTTAAGTGGGAGGGGATGCGGGAAAAAGTGTAGGGCATGTAGGGAAAGGTATTCAACAAATAATTTATTCACTCGTTTGGCTTAACTCTGCCATACATTTACATTATATTATATAAGTTTATAATGGATTAAAATAAGCAGAAAAATAAGGCAAAATCAAAGCAAAAGTTTTTTATATATATACAGTACTCTTGTATATCATTTGGTGGTGCACTCAATGAACAGATGGTATTCATTGAGTGAAACATACAAATGAAAAATGACTTTAAATAATCAAAAAGCACACAAAATAATAGCTAAGATTTAAAGCGGAATGCAATTCATGTGAATTGAGAGCAAAAAGAGGTCTTTTATTCAAATTAAATTATCTCCAGAAGTAGGGACAAAATCTGAAACATTAAAATGTTTAACAAAGTGTTTAAACTTAGTTTTTCTTGTGTTTTGTTTTCTCGTTTGGCTTTTACTTATTGTTCCGACACAAGAGATTCAGTAAAAAATTTATTTTTGTATTACTTTTGGTTTTGTTTATGTAATAAAATGTATGATAAAAGTAAATTGAATGAAATAGACAAAGCCTTTTAAAATACGAATAAAATTCAGTTAACTTTTTTATTTATGAATTGCATTTTTTGTTTGCATTTTCTATGGAAATTAAATTAACTTAATAGTATAGTTCATTGTTTAAGATTACTCTCAAAATTAATAAAAAAAGACTAAAAAAATATGTATTTACAGTGTAGTAACTGTAATCACTTTTATAAATTAAAATAAAAAATTTAATTACAAATCGTTAGTAACTAATACTTAGTGTGAGTTATAATTACTAATATTAAAAATCCTTTGCTTTCATTACATAAAAATAAATTTCTGAATACATATATTAAAAACTAATTATCAAAACCACTAATTGAAACTAGGCATTTTCGTAATTCAAAAATCTTATTCAATAATCAAAACATAAAATAATGAGAAAATAATTGATTGTTAATTGAAATGATTGTCCCAAATGTGGCAAAATTGATGAGTAGGTGACTCCCAATGGTTGAGTGCGCTATCGATTGTGGAATTGTTGCCAACAATCAAACACTATATCACATATGAGGGCTCATTAACTCAGCCGGCATGCCATGAGACTGTCCAGTGGATCGTATTAAACAAACCTATTTATATGAGTTCCCATCAGTTTTATCTACTGAGACACACATTAAAAAGCGATGGTCACGGAGATAACTACCGGCCCACACAACCACTCAACCACCGGTCTCTCAGGTCTAACATCTATAATGCAAATCAGGTGAGAGTTATCTGTTTATGTGTTTATGACATATACTGATAAATGCAGACATTTTTTAATAATGTTAAAACACGGTATAAAACATAAATCAACAATATGATTAAATATTAACAATATTCTCGATATTATACTTTACATTTTGTCTATTTATAAACTTTATACAATTTGTTCAGTTATATCATATAAATTTAGTTATAGTTACTAAACACACAACTAGTTAATGATCTAGAATTGTATGAAAAGTATTTTTCGTACAGAATATTCTTTACGAAAAATATTGATAATGTGAATAAGCAATGAAGAGCTGTTACACTCTATATTAAAAACACTCCGAATGTATAGTAAGTTAAAAGCCTTTATTTAGTGAATCACTTTGTGCTCAAAAATGTGCTTTAATTCGCTATTGAATGCGTTTTGAATGCCAGTTCACTGCCGGAGTATAATATGTATAATATTTAGTGAATACATTAAACAGTTTAAAGCTGAGATATTTTAATCAACTTTATCTGAGAACACATCTTTCGCTAATAGCTCTCTCTCTCTCTCTCTCTCACTCACTCACTCACTCACACACACACACCTCGCATATGCCCTCTTTGTTCTCCACTTATCCATTGATTATAATATTTAATATAAAACTTATTCAAATTTCTCTTATATTTAATTATCAAATATTAAGCAATGATTGCATGATATATACCGTACCCTCCATCCAAGCAATGAATACCAGTGCCGAGTAAATGGAGAGATAGTTTGAATAACGGCATAAATAGTTCATATATTAAGTCAGAATTACACTCTCTTTGCCTCTCTTTATATTCAATTCACAATTCATTTTCACTCAAACCGTGATATTTGTGAAGCGGAATAAAAACTTTCTTTTCGGTCCTATTATTTCTCAAATAAAAATAATATATAAATCTTATGAATCGCCCAAAAGTTATTCATCACTTTTATTATTGCCATTTCGGTGGCAATCAATGGCTCAGGCATTCAGCTATACTTTCCATAGGAGTTGTCGTAAAGCTATTGTGAATACGAAATATTTGAAAAGTAGAAAGTTTTAGACAACAACTGTATATCAATTTTAGTAACTTATAATATTATGAGAAAATAATAAAATTTTCCATTAAATTGAATTTTTAGTAATAAATAATAGCAAAAATTATTACATTGAATCTAGAAAATGTGTTGCATATACCCTATGAGCTATAAACAGTTGTGTATGTTTAAGAATATTCTTTCGACAGTATACTGGATATCAGTTCAGTTGATATTTTGCATCACATACTCCCTTAAATTCCTATGAAGTGTGCGTTAATTCTTGAATATTTGAAATAATCAGAATTCCTCTCATAATATACTATATTCTCACTCTTATAATAACAGTGCATTTTTATGCTGACTCTATGACTCCCTCAATGAGTTATGCGAACCTCTCTATTCATGACTTTCCCTACTTTGTTGTAATTGTTTTGTAACCTATAATGAGAGAGAGAGAGAGAGAGAGAGAGAGAGAGAGATTATGTAACGTTATACCAAAATTGATGGTATGATTGTTTCGATGTGTTATGAAAACACTGTATTTCCCTCTAATACAGAATAAAATAGTATCTTAATAATACCGTAGTATAAATATACAATACATAACAATGCAAAACATAGTATATTAACGATGAACACAAATCTTGTCTAAAAACATGGTATATATTATATGTGAAACATAATAAGATGTTGAGTGTGTCGATAGAAAATAATAGTGGAGAGACAATAATGAGAGTAAATTATATAACTTAATATTCAGCACACATTATAAAATAGATGTCAAAATAGTTTACGACAAGTTTTTACTCCATAAATTAATCTATTTTATTTTACTTTTATAAAACGTTCATTAATTTGACAATTTATGTGACAGTATATGAAATATCTATAATTATATTACAAAATTATTATACTATACAAGATATTCTACACCAGAATAACTATTAAAAATCCCAATAAATTAAAAGTGCTAGTTAAAATTAAGTTTTAATTGCAATATGAACATGGTGTAACAAAATACACGCTTATTTGATGGCTAATAAAATTGGATTCTCTCTTATTTATTGACTTTTAGGAGACAAATGATGTAAAAGTGGAAGAAATTGGTGAGAATTCCTATAAGAAGATCTCGTGCTCTATGGAGCGCTCGATGACCTACAAAGGTATGACAAGTGGTGTCTGTCCACAGTTCACATCACAATATTAAAGCCACTTTTATATACATCTATAGCTCATTCCAAGTTTCAATGATTAGATTTCTGAGTTAAATGGGTATCAAAAGCCAATATTTTATCCGTATTTGTAATTCACTGGTTTCTAGCGTTAAATTTAAGTGTGCCTGATATTGACATTGCTGGTCACCACTGATATTAATATAATCGTAATATTGTATTATAGTATAAATATTGGGGAATATAGGCTCAATGGGAACACAATTGTCTATATATTGTTCGGCAATTGTCCGTAATGTTAGTCAAGCTGTTGAACCCATTGATCCGTTTGGATATATAAGTTGCCATTTATTAACACATACATGAGTACAGACTTTGAGCACACAATCCAATAGTCTCTGTATGTTATTTCGAGACAATAGGAGAAGCAACTTATTTCATAAGTTATTTTTATTAGCGAAAAACTTTGCGATTATATCTCAATGAAGTGCTAATAATAGTAATAAAACATTAAATTTAATCTTTCAATTGCGAACATATTTTATAAGATATATATATAAATAATTACATAACTTTTCATTGTATATACGGTTAGCGAGCATATCGTATGTGATATACGATGTGATGAATGATTTCCTCCCAATAGTGCATTAAAACACGATTTTTCTTGTTTTTAAAACTTTTAGACCAAAAAATGCTGACACAAGACATTACATTGAGTTGAAAAGTATAAAAAGTTTTTCTCATAAGAAATATCTATCAAATATTGAGTATATATCGAGAAAATTACATTTTAACCCGCATTTATCAATGGGCCGGGTAGCATGGCAATAAATCTATATTAACAAATGTTATTCTTTATAAACAATATTAATATTTAATTTGAAACATGTTTTTGCATTACTTATAAATAAATTTATTTTACATTTTCAGCAAATATTAGAGTGAATGAAGAGGTATAGAGAAAAAAGGCATTTATAAAACACAACAAAAACTGTTTTTTGGTATAAAATATGTGTTCAGTGTCTGAGATATTTGTGTTTTCAATCTTATGGCAATTTTCGGGACCATTTGCTTAAGTCTTTGCAAAACTTCACTTATGTTTCATCCGATCGTCAAAACTCTGCAAAACTAATGTGAATTCGCACTCAAAAACAAATGGATGTCATATAAGACATGTCATAAGCATATCATTTGTCAAATGCATTGAAGAATTTGGTTTTCGTTTGATAATAATAATTATTTTTTATTATGAAATATTTACAATTGATTGGAAGGACTGTTGGGACAAACTATTTATGTGTCTTTCATAGCGATTATATACAATCTTTTGTGATAAATAATGTTATATTAATGGTATGTATAAGATTTCTATATAAAGTTACATGATAAATAACAAAACTTGAAAGTTATATTTTGTTAATTATTAACACTTATTATCTACTCTGTATAAAAAATTGATTTTAACATTGGAAATATCAATAAGCAAAATTTTTATTTTTATAGCAATGATTATCAAATTTTATTAGTTTTAGAAAAACTTTTTAAAAAATTCTACTTTTGCTTTACTTTTAAAACATCTTAAGTTATGACTAGATTAGTGTTTTTGAAATAATGATCCATACGATTAAAACTATAGTACTGTTAGCCAAACATAATCTAAAGCCAATAAAAAACTATTTGTATTCGGGTTTTATGTGTTCTGTATATAAATGACACGAGAGTTATGTTATACTTTGAGTTTCAGTTTATTTATTAATACAATTATTTTTACTTTAAGAGCCTTTTTAGTTGTGTTTTAAGTGAAACATTCATTCACTACACTATTCTCTCTTAAGATTTCTTTATTTTATTTCTCATTTCCTTTTTCTTCTTCAAATTTCTCTCTCTCTCTCTCTCACTCACACACACACACACACCTCAAAAGCGATATAATGTGTGCACACTATAGGGATATATAACGCTATTTGTTTGAAATTTGAAGAAGAAAAAGGAAATGAGAAATAAAATAAAGAAATCTTAAGAGAGAATAGTGTAGTGAATGATAGTTAAATCACTTTAATTACTCTAAAGTGTTGCACATCTGCGTTCACATGCAATACAATGGCAGTGCATATAAGCACTGGTAGTGTATGAGAGTGTCGGTGTAATGTGTGACTACTTTCTACGAGAGTCTTAAGATTTAGAGTTTAGTGAAACTGTAAGAGATTTAAGTTTTTTCTCTCCATTTTCCCGATGATGAACACCAATAGTGCATAATATTAAGTAGAGCACAGACTCTCACATCTAAGGCACCGATAATGACATCCATTGCCGGCCAGGTTTTCACTTTACTACATTAAATGATATGCACCTTGCATCAATAACTCTATTTATCATTTTAAAAATATTTAATTTAATTAAAATTTCTCTAAGATTTCAAATGACATCAAAAACCATATTTTAAAGCCTAGTGTTGGCGATACCCACATTGCATGGCATTCCCTTTCATTTGTCTCATACGATAGTAAACTAGAGCTGAGATTTACTTTCACTGCAAGAATGCATTCCTCGGATTCAATGTCTGTTTTTTCGGGCTCTGAGTCTCAGTTTGTTTTGTGAATACTTTTACACATAAGAAGACACATAAAACGCATGAAATCTTTAATTAAAGCGTTTGTATTAGTCTTTTGAACCATATCTACAGAAATCAAGTCTCTCTCTCTCTCTCTCTCCCTACGCTCTCTTTGGTTTACTGCAATAGCCATCCCTTTCCATCCCTTTGGGTGATATCATTGTTTTGGTGTTATTTCTACTTATTTTTTATTTCCCCTATTTTTGGTCAAATGAACCAAATTTTAATTAAAGAATAGCCTTTTCATGTGATATATGAAAGTGTTTGGCAATTGAATGCCTGTACTGTTGTAATGGCTGTATAAATGTTTGTCTGATAAATGTGTGCTACAAATGTGGGTCTCATATCAAAGGCACAGGTAATTGAATGCTTACAAAGCTATACACGAAGTGTAATAAAAATAAATTCTTTATACCCTTACCTATACTTCAAAAATATAAGCTTTTAGTTTGAAATCAATCATAAAATACTTGTGTTTAGTTCTCCTTAAAGTGAAATAAATAAACAATTTTTAAGACAAACATAAAATATATTTCATTATTAATGTTAACAGAATTATATAGTTTGTAGTACCGTTTCTAGTAATACAATACTGTATGGGCTTTTGGTATTAGATTTTTATTAAATAAAATAGTATGCATTTTTGAATAGAGTATGCACTGCAATTGTAATTAATATTTATATTTGTCATTTTGAATGTTAATATTTTAGTTTATAAAATATGAAAGTGGGTTATTCTGTATATATTGTAAGGATTGTGTCCAAAAATAAACTTTTAAACAGAATATGTTGTGAACGAAAGCCAACTTTCAATACCAGTTCATTGCCTATAATATGATGATTAATGAATAGACTTATAGTGAATGTGAACCTTATTTCTCATATCAAGCATTTCACATCCATTTCTCGTATATATAAATATATTAAAAGAAAATGTTTATTGTTTTCTATTTGAGATTTACTTTTTATTTATAAGTTATTATTTATATGAGTGATATATTATTGTATTCAATGAGACTGTGTTAACTTGGTTTAATTAATTTTTATTATTATTATTAATCAATTTTAAACGGAATATTATTGCAATTTATTTATTAATACAGTAAATATTTGTTTATTGTATTTTATTATCTTCAAATAAATTATTTAATTCTTTCTAAAATGTTTTATATTAAATATAATTTGTTTTAAAATATTGGATTTATAATAATTATTTATTTAATTAAATCACGAATATTAATAAAAACTTAATTTTTAACTCTAGAACTTTTATTTGCAATTTATTTACAAATTATGAAACTTATGGTATACTGTAAATTAAATTTATAAATAAATTTATATATAATAAAAAATTTCCAATATAAAAATATTGACTAGGACTAAGACAGTGACTAGGTTATTTTTAAATAATATTACAGTATTAGAACAAAAAAAGCCATAAATTTATTTATAATTTTATAAATAAAATACAATTTATTATAGTTAAAAGCAATTTATAAATATTGAAAATATAACTTTCTAGTCATCTCGCAATTTAAATGTGTTCAAATTGAAATTAAAGTAATATTTGATTTTTATCATTTTCAGTCATATTCTCATCTAATAAATGAAGAAAATTGCAAACTTTTTATTTCGCATCAAATGCCATAATTGTTATCATCATTAATTGATACTCTCATACACTTAATGCTACAAAATCCATACCATATAAAGAAATAAGAAGTGAATTCACTGTCTGATGGAAACAATGGCACTATTATTGACACAAAAAACAACAAAAATAAGTCTAATTTCTTGAGCTCTGGCTGCGAGTGATGGCTGAACCCAACCCATAAGATCTGTGAACCCCTGGCCTATCATTACAGTGCAATCGTGCGCGAAGTGGTCATACCATACCATACCATACCATACCATCCAAGTTCTACTTATTTACGACACAACTCACCATTGTTTCCAATTAGTGCACCCACTGCTGCCCAACCCGTTGACACATACCAGTGCTGTGTTTATAGTAATGACAATATGGCATAAAATTTCTGATTCACAGACAGAAGGCAACAAAAATAAGTTTAATAATAAAAACACTTGATTTGCGAATAAATTACTCGCAATTTTTCATAACACAGAATATTCTGTAGTGTTTCATAGATACACAGAATACACAGAATATGTATCATAAATATTATGGGCTTTAAGTTTCACTGAACTAATGTTATGCAGAGTACAGGATATGTTATGTATTATTTAATTTGCGTGAAACACAACTTTATTATAACTTTTTAATGTTAAACACATTTTAAACATAAAGAGAATGAGAAACACATTTGGAGTCAAAAATATTTTTAATCATAAACTAATGGATAGAATAAATGACTCAACACTACAATAATTTTTCAAATATTATGTTCAGTTAATCTCTCTCTCTCCTCTCTCTCTCACTCTCTCTCTCTCACTCTCTCTCTCATCACTCTCTCTCTCTCTCTCTCACTCTCTCTCTCTCTCTCGAAAAATGTGAGTTAATTGTAGAAAATATTATTTATTAATACATTAAATATTATGTTATGTTCTCTAAAACAAAAAGATTTATGTTATGTAAGTTTAATAAATTACACCAAATAAAAATATACTGTATAAATACATTTTGGAAAATGTTGTAATTTATAACAAGCATTAAGTCTTTTATTATTTATTTTTATTTAATAAAATTATGTATAAACTAAAATCAAAATAAAAAAGATTGAAATAAAAAATAATTTTTAATTTTCATATATTAATATTATTAAGCGATTATTATTATTACTACAGTATACAAGACATTATAATGAAAAGGTTTAGCAAATAATTTTGGGAAAAATTGTTTATAGCATATTCAGTGAAAGAAAGTTTTACATATTTAATTAATAGTTTAATTATGTATTCAAAACAGATTTAAAATAAGCACTTCATGACTACATTCAAAATCTGAATAAAATATGAAGAATTAAATTAGATATTATGAATCGACAAAAGGGAGTATTGATTTCAAAAAGTATATTTTTACGGACATTATTTCGTATAAAGATTTCAATGTTTATGAAGTTTAGTAAGAATATGATATGGTGTACAAACTTAATATACTTTCTAAAATTAATTTTGCTTAATAAACCGTAATAAGAGTAATAAATTCATTTTAATTTTTATTAAACTAAATACAATTACATGCCAAGATAATTACATTTAATATAACTTTAAAACTTAACTAATATTTCACAATTGTTCAGAATACAATTTCTATAATATGATTATAAGTTAAACTAATATTTCATTTATTATATAATAAACGTTTGACTTTTTCTTGTTTGGCACAAAACTTTTAGACTTCAATTATGGGTATAATTCCTTATAGTGAGAAGGCGTACGGCATATGGAACTCATATTTCTATCTCAAAGAGTTTTACACTATAAAAGATTGGTTTACTTTCTCATATTAACTCAAATCTATTTGGACCCCACCATCAAATCTCTCTCTCTCTCTCTCTCTCTCTCACTCACACACCA